GCGGAGCAGCAGCCACAAAGGAGGCTTGTCCTGGTGGAGCCCCACTGAAAGGTGCTGTGTTTGCCCACAGGGTGCAGAGCCAGCACTGGTGGAGTCAGTGTGTCCTTCAAAAAGAGCTGGATTTGTGCAATACTTTTAATAATAAGTAGTTATTTCTTACTATTCCTCTTGTATTAAAAAAAAATAATAATTATCAACATGTTAGAGGCAAATAGGGACAAAGTCTCTACCTGGAGAGTGACCCAACAGCTTGACTCAGTGCTTGTTGAAGTAGCTGAGAGTATTTGTACTGTCAGACTCATTAAAAGGAGGGATGGTAAACAGCCTTTGTTTTTATTTTTATAGGAAATTTACTCATCGTTGCATTTGCTGAGCCTCTTGGCTGAGACGGCTGTTTTTCTAAGGATTGACTGATCAGATCCTGGCAGTCCTTTAAGTCACTTAAAGGGACGACTGGAAACAGGCTCTTCCCTGTGAGGTAGGTACCAGGAAGCTCCCAGGCAGTGGCACACAGACACAGGGCTGTGTCCGAAGGCAATTAGAAAAGCTGGGTGTTCCCAACAGGCCAATGAACCCTTCCTTGCTCACAACTCCAGCTCCCTGTATTATGAGCTTGACATCTTCAACAACAATAAAAATTCCCCAGCAAGTAAGTTATCATCCAAGTGTTTTTCCCTTTAGACTGGAAAAAAGGTCATTTGGGGGGGGAGGGGAATTCCATTTGGTATTTTGCCCCTCCGGTGTCTGAGGGATAAAATAATCATGTGGAAGCCCCAAGGGGTGTCTCCCCCTCCTCGTGCTCCCCTGAGAAGACGGTGCCATCAGCCTTTTAGGTGTTACAAATATCCAGCACGGGATTGGAATGTGTGTTGGAATATCTGCTCCAGCTCCTCATGCTTTAATTATTTCTGTACGAGCAGCCCCCCCCTGCACCACCTGCTCACTTTTGTTTTAGCAGCGCACGGCTCATGAGCAGAGACGCTGAACTCCACGCAGGGAGCCTTGGATGGTTACAGGCTTTGCAGGGAGAGCGTGTGGATAAGGGCTGGGATGTTTGCCACACGCTCATCCTGATTCATCTCTTTCATGAATCAGGACTTGGGTCCTATTTGCTAACGTCTGTCTGCGTAACCTTTGCTATGTCAACGGTGCCTGTGCTCTGATGTCAGCTGCTGGACTCCGAGTGCTGGCAGCTGGTGTCCCTGGCCAGCTCCCAGCCTACAATTCAATTTTCCTACCAGTCACTTGAGAAGAGAGGAAAAAACATGTTTCTGGCTGTTTGTGGCATCAAAACATAAAGGGCTTCAGTTTACAAGGTCATTTAAGGCTTTTCTACAGCGTGACACATGGGAAAGTACAGATAAATCAAGCAGTGGTATTAAGTTAATACATCTTCACTTATGGGGCACTGAACTACAGTAAACTAAGGCTGGTTTAATTCTGAATAAAAATCTCAGCACAAAAATCTCTCACACCTTCTAGGTATTGTACATTAACATCCCCTCTCTGAACAGAGGCCAATCTGGAGATATTTTTACCCTTTTCCCAATCTTGTGAATAGTGGAAAATTGCCACAGAGCTAAAAGGCAGGAGTGTTTGGGAAGAAGGGAACTACCCATGAAGAGAAGAGCTCTGGTCTCCTTTCTTATACCGACTTGCTGCATGACTTTTTCTACAGCATTTTGTGAGCCTCAATTTTTATACCTGCATATTGGGATTATTAGTGTCTTCCCTGCCATTACAAAGGCCTTTAAGATCTTCAGAGGAATTTCTCCTCCTGTGTATCGTTTTCCCAGTATGGGCTGTCCAGAGAGCGTTCAAAAATATGTAAAGCTGTCACAGATGAGCACAGTCAGGTCTGTGTCTAGAGGGCTGAACTTGGGTGTCACAGTCAGTTTTAAGAGTAAAGGAGTGAAGGAATTCACACCTCCTCACATCCTGCACCACCAGGTTCTGTCTCCCTAGACTGACAAGGGAAAGAAAAAATGGTGACACCTAGTGAAGTACCCGTGATGCATTAAATAATAACTCTGTGTAAACCAGAATCAATGTCCCCAGGGCACAACTCTGTCCCATTAGCTGTTTGTCAGTCATCATGCTTATTTTAGCTGGGAATGGTATAATTTGGGACCTTTTTCATGGTTTTAAAGGTTCAGGAAGGAGGTATTTATTTCAATGTAGCCAATGGTACATTAAAAATTCCGCCGACTCAGAAGGGATTGATTTGTTAGGGAATGGCTCTTGAAGCCTTCAGTTTACCTGAGCTCAAACTCTCATCCCTTTTCCACGTATTTTAATAAACATACGGCATAGCAGCAAGATCTTGAATGAACACGTTCTCTCTTGTCAAGAAGTGCTGACAACCTCCTTTCTTTACTACAACAGCTCTGAAGATCAGACCTGCTGGACAATAAGAAGTCGGATTTGCTTCGCTTTTCTTCACTCCCTGGGACGCAAACAAAAGAAACCAGAGCAAGTTCCTGCCTGCTGAAATTCCAGGGGCTTGAACTACATTCCAGCACAACTGAGAGGCATTTTGAATCTTTTCTTGGTATTTGTCAGCCCTGCACTGCTCCCAGGCAACTGCACTTTAAGTTAGATGTTATTAATTTTAAAGGTTTGACTACCAATAGTTCTCATTAATTTCCATGGCAATATTGCCTGAAACAAGATAACAATTGCTTTGGGTTGTATAACCAAAGTTCCTAACGTGAAGGAATGCAAACCAGGGAAAGTGCTCAGATGGAGGGAACTGACTGACCTTGCACAACCTCCCTAGGGCCAAACTTCCCTTCCTATCTAGCAATCTGCATTCCTAGTTTGCTGAAAATATTGAACAGTTTGCACTTTCAGTCTGTGTCCTCTGGGCTTCAGTCTCCCGCATGCCTCACAGCTTTCCTGAAACATTTCACCCACACGTTTATTCCTTTATATTCCTGCTAACGACGCATGGCTCGAGCTTTCATATGAGATGTAACAGGGATATAAACGATAATAGAAAATTTTAAAACCATATTACTTTCTTCTTCTTTGTCTATCTTGCTAAGATTATTGTTTCTGCAGAAAACAGCTGAGACACTTACCATGATTGATTTAGACATTAAATTATGGACTTATGTGCTTTCACTCTATCAATAAACACCAAATATCTTTAAAAGTTTAAAGCTTTTCTGGTTACATGGCCATTTGGTTAAGTAGAATAGTGGCAGTCAGTAAGAACTAAAACGTTTCCCAGAATCTAAAGAGAGAAGTGTTATGAACAAAGAGGAATCTGAGTGGGCGTAAATTCCTTGCCCTGCTATGCCGGTAGGATTATATCTCAGGCTTTCAGAGCAGGAAAAGGATGTTATAGGCATAATGGCAGGGAATATCAATCAGATAACTACATCTAATTACAGCGTTGCTAGATTAACTAGTTAAGTTCAGCTACATGAAGGCAACTGGCCAAGTGCCACAACAGAAACAGGATTCAGAGGAACAATTTCTCAACACATTAAACAAGTTTTTGTAAGGACTGGTTTCAGATCAGGCAACAGACTGTGCTTGGCTAACTTTAAAAGACACAAGGTTCGTGTAAGAAAGAACAGTAGCTGAAAACCTTGTTAATAGTAACTAAATATTCAGCTTTTCAGAAAGAATTGCACCTAAAGGCCAGGATAATGACTCTGAATTTTAGCAGATTTATTTTCAGAGGGAGTGAGCCATTAATAAAAGATGTTTTGGGTAAACAAAACACATTGATAGTGTTGTTGAAGGGAGCAGAGACACGGGCCCCTAATTTTGAAGTCCTTATTTTAACCCAGTTTATGATATTCTGGTACTGTACAAAACATTACTGTGTGTACCACGTCCTGCTCCCTGTGTCCTCCTGCACTCGGGGGGTGTGTGCATGGCTGTGTGTGTGAGGAGGTGTGAGAGGTCATCTGTTGAGACCCCACCTGCAGAGCTGCTCCAGCTCTGGGGTCCCAGCATGGGAAGGACATGGAGCTGTTGGAGCGAGTCCTGAGGAGGCACCAAGATGATCAGAGGGATGGAGCAGCTCTGCTGTGACGAAAAGCTGGGAGAGTTGGGATTGTTCAGCCTAGAGAAGAGAAGGCTTCGGAGTGACCTAATTGCAGCCTTCTAGTATAGAATCACAGAATCACAGAATACGCTGAGTTGGAAGGGACCCATCAGGATCATAAGAGTCCATCTGCTGGCCCTGCACAGGACACCTCAACAACCCCACCATGTGCCTGAGAGCATTGTCCAAAAGCTTCTTGAACTGAGACAGGCTTGGTGCTGTGACCAGCACCCTGGGGACCCTGTTCCAGTGCTCAGCGACTGTCTAGGTCAGAAACCTTTTCCTGATATCTAACCTAAACCTCCCCTGACAGCTTCACGCTGTACCTGAAGGGAGCCCACAAGAAACATGGAAGGAGACTATTTGCCAGGGCACGTGGTGACAGGACAAGGGGGAATGGCTTCACACTGACAGAGAGCAGGGTTAGACTGGATATTGGGAAGCTTTTCCCTGTGAGGGTGCTGAGCCAGGCTGGGAGAGCTGGGGGGGCTCAGCCTGGGGAAGGGAAGGCTCCGGGGAGACCTCAAGAGCCTCTCCCAGCGCCTAAAGGCGTCTCGTAAAAAGATGGAGAGTGACTTTTTACAAGGGCAGACAGCGACAGGACAAAAAGGAACTCTGTTAAGCCAAAAGAGGAGAGATTTAGGTTATATGCGAGGAAGAAATTTTTAACAATGAGCGTGGTGAGGCAGTGGCTGGGCGATCCCCGGAAGCGCTCAAGGCCAGGCTGGAGGGGGCATGGAGCAACCTGGTTTAGCGGAAGGCGACCCTGCTGGAACAGGGTGAGTTTTAAACCCCTTTCACCGCCGAACCACTCCACGACTCCACAGCCGGCTATCCCCTCACGCTCTCGGGGCAGCGCCGCGCATGCGCGCCGCCACTCCCGCCCCAGCCCCCCCCCCGCCTCCCGGCAGCGCGCAGGCGCGCGGGCCGCCCCCGCCCGGCACCGCGAACGACGGGCGGCGGATCCCGCGCCCCCCCCCGGCGCTCCCGCCCCGGCGGCATGAGGGGACAGCGCGGCCGGACCGAGCGAGCGGTAAGCGCGGCGCGGAGCCTGCCCAGCGCCCACCCTGCCCTGCCCTGCCCTCCCCTCAGCCCCGCCGCGCCCCCGCGGCAAGTTTCCCATTGTCCGCCCCGCTGCCTGCCGGCTCCTCTCAGCGCTGCCCGCGGCGAGCCCCCGGGAGCGGCCGGCGCTGCCCGTGGCGGGCGGCGGGTGGTGGTGGTGGTGGTCGCGGTGGGGATGGTGATGGTGGTGATGGTGATGATGGTGGTGGTGGTGGGGCGGGGGGTCGCGGTCCTCGGGCGGGTCACGGCGGCGCCGCCGCGGCCGCTGCGCTCCCGGGCCCTGGGACGGATCCCCCCGGGACAGCGCGGGGATGTCACAGGTGTCCCCCCATCCCGTCCTGTCCCCTCCCGGAGTGTCCTGGATCCCGCAGGGGCTGTCACAGGTGCTTCCCCCCACCCCAATCCCTCTCCTGTCCCCTCTCGGGGTGTCCCGCATCCCGCGGGGCATGTCACTGGTGTCCCCCCTCATCCTTTCCTGTCCCCTCCTGCCGTGTCCCGCATCCGCCGCATCCCTCGGGGACGACGCGGGGCTGTCACAGGTGTCCCTCTCATCCCTTCCTGTCCCTTCCCAGGGTGTTCCTCATTCTCTGGGACACCGCGGGGCTGTCACAGGTGTCCCCCCCCCTCCCTTCCCATCCCCTCGCGGCGTGTCCCGCATCCCTCCTGTCCCCCTGGAGCAGCGCGGGGCTGTCACAGATGTCCCCTCCCTCCCTTCCTGGGGTGTCCCGTATCCCCCCGGGACACCACGGGGCTGTCACAGGTGTCCCCCCATCGCTTCCCGGCGTGTCCCGCATCCCTCCGGAGCAGCGCGGGGCTGTCACAGATGTCCCCTCCATCCCGTCCCGGCGTGTCCCGTATCCCCCCGGGACACCGCGGCTCTCTCAGAGGTGTCCCCCCATCCCTTCGCGGGGTGTCCCGGCTGCGCCGCGGCGGGAGGAAACACGGACGGACTTTGTTGTGTAACTCTTTTTTGGTACGAGGATTACGGAGGGCTTGCGGCTGTTTGTGCTGATTCAGGTGGTTTTTTTTGTTTTTTTTTTTTGTGAAATGCAGGGTAGTCATGGGTAAATTCCGCTCTGGAATGGGATGTCGGAGAACTTCCCCGCGGCTCTGGGGGTTGTTTGTTGGCTCCTGCCGTGTCCGAGGAGCCGCCGAGCCCCGCTCCGGGGCCGGTGTCGCTCCCGCGGCGCTGCAGGAACGTGAGAGCGCCTTAAGGACGGAAAAGTAAAGCGAACTTACTCTAACAAACCCGTTTCTCTCCAAAATGACGCTGGCTCGCAGCCCGCGGCTCATCTGCCAGTGCTGCTGCCAGGATTTTTCAATAAACGTAATTGCAGTCGAGAGAGTTCGGGTCAAGCCGGGGAAAGCACACACGAAGCCTTTGGAATAACTCCTCGCTGTGTTGCCAGTGACATTTTTTATGGCCGTATAGTGGAATTTTTGCAGTTTCGTCCAATTTGGTTTTTTTCCCCAGCTCTCTCTCTTAAGTTTCTCTCTCAGAAGTTTTAATTAATTGTTTTTGGCGATTATAGCAACAATCACCAATATAGCTTTGTATCGCTGTGCTGTAGTGATCCGGTTTTTTTCTCTCTTTCTGAAAACAAGAATTTTTAACATTTATTTCTTAACCTCTTTTTGTGTTTTCTGTGCTTATTTATTTATTTATTTATTTAAAAAAACCCAGTCCCAGTTGGGCATGAGCTCTGAGCAGGGCAGCCCACATGCAGTGCTGGGGGACTGGGAAATGCTCCTGTGCCTGTCGCTGGGATGTGGCAGTGTTTGGTTCTCAGCAGCACAGGAAGTCTCACCCATCTGCCAAAGAGTCATAAACCACGTTAAAGATTTGTTACTAAAAGTGGCCTGAAAATGTGCTAATTTTATGTCGTGTTTGGAAGAAATGATAAGTCATTTCTGACAAATATATATATTTATAGCTTTTCAAGGCCCCCTTGGGTCTTAAAAGAAGCTGTCAAGGAATTGTGAAGGGTTTCCTGTGGAATTGCTTGTGGGGTACCACGCACGGAATAATTGTATGAGGAAATTGAAAATGGCTTCCTACGTTTGACAGATGGTTTTAAAAATTTCTTTTTCAGGTTTGAGTTACTCTCACCAACTGCAGCAATGGTGCAGAAGTACCAGTCCCCCGTACGGGTGTATAAACACCCTTTTGAGTTAATTATGGCTGTAAGTATTAATTTTTGCTGTAATTTTCTTCTTGGCAGTCCCTTCTGTTGCTTAGTACTTACTGGGCTGTGTTTTGTAGATGCTGTAGAACATACAAAGCTGGAACAATATGGAAAATATGAGGTGTATGTGTTTCAATGGCTGCTTCTCTGCCCAGAGTGGTTTTTTTTTTAGATAATGTTCTCTGATTTTCCTGAATTTTAGATGTAACTTTCAGATGAAATTTGCAGATGATAATTTACAGATGTATTTGAAAGTTAGAGCAAAAGTAGGCTCGAAGTATGCTGCCCAGTTGAGTACTGGGAGCAAACTCTTCTAGAATGGGAAAAAATGTCATGTACATTGATTAAAAGATTGTTGTGGTTGTGTCTTCATCAGGGTAGAGTTTACAGGGCTCAAAGGCACAAAGAAAGCCATGAAAGCAAGGATAAGCCTGAGTGAAAAAAGAGAAAGGACACTGGTGATACTTTCAGGGATGGAAAGAAAAAAGCTTCTAGGGAGGTCAGAGAGATGAACAAAAAGCCTTTTGGGTGCATAGTTGCTAATTTGTGTGATAATGTTACAATAGTGATTTAAAAAAAAAAAAGAAATCCTAATTAAGTTCCCTCTTCTTTCTCCCTCTCCCCTTCTCCCTCCCTCTTTTTTAAAATAAAAAAAAAAACAAAACTCAGAAAGGAAGTAGGTATTTGACATTTTAAAGTCTGTTCAGCTCTGGGGCTCTCATTAGTTACAAAGAGCAGTTAAGGAGCTTTTCCCTGATAAAAACAGTTAAAACTAAATCATAACCTAAATAATAATTGTTCTGTTTCACTTGCTGAAAATACTACGTCTAATGGTCTCAGAGGAGAGTTTTAAAAGTGCTCATAGTGTAAATATTTGGATAGATCACATGGTTTGGAGTGCAGAGTTCCTTGCAGAAGTGATCCTTTGCAGTCTCGGGGCAAAAAAAAGGATTAGGTCACTCTACAGGGAATACTTCCATTTCTTTTTATCTTATTCCTAAAGCTGCCTCCAGTATTACACATGTAGGTCTTGCTCTTGCAAACACTTCAAGGCAGAGAGTGGTTATTTTCCTGAGCACAGAAGAATCAGACTGTGATATGTTTAAGGTCTTTTAGGACCTTATTACGCTGACAACTGGGCTTCAGGTGGTTTCTAATTTAAATTTGATGGTGTATGTAACTTCAGCCTTCAGTGGAGTTCTGCTGGCTCTTAGATCAATCAGCCAAAATGAGTTTCTTGGACAAAATTCTCTGGCTGTTTGCTGGACTGATAAATCTTCACCTCACTGTCGAACTGAAGGCAAAAAATTCTTCCCTTGAGTTATTTCTTCAAAGATATTTTAAGTCAAAGTGCTGATATCAGGATTTTTCCCAACTCTTTATTGGGTGTAATTAGAAACACTTCTGACTATTAATATGAACTGTGAGTTCTCAAACTGTTCTGTGTCTTGGGGGTAATATTTGAAAAATAATCTTTAACACATATTAGGTCTTTTCTTTAGAGAGAAAGAGGCTGTGCTACGTATGCAATTAGGATAAGACAGCAGTTGAAAAATTAAAAGTGAACTAAGAGGAGAAGAATGTTTATAAAAAGAAACAGCTGAACAAGATCCTTTCTGGGACTGGATGAGCGATAATACACATGATTTATTTAGTCTGTGTCAGGGCAGTGAGTTATCACTTGAACTTGTCCAGAATGTGAGCACTGGATGAACATCCTCCTCCTGCCATGTCGCTTCTGATCTTTAAAACTCGTAAAATTCCTGGAGGTGATCCATCAAAACTGTCCATGCATTTTGTGGAGGGAGTAGAGGAGTGCCTCCATGAGCCAAATTCTGTAAGGAGTATGAACAGTATATCATAGCTTGATTCTTTGGTACTGTTTTGTTACTGTCTTCCCTTGGTGGAATAGTGGTTGCATAAGTTGATGAAGTATTTCTGGAAGGAATATTCGTGTTGAATTTTGTTCTCACTAAAGTGGAAGCACTACATTGCATATTCTCAACAAAAAAGTGCTATAATGTTGTTTTAACAGTGCCACCAGCTCTTCTGAAAGGAGGCACGTGGCCTGGCATATACCAAGCTTGAATTTAAAGCACCCAGCAATGACTTAACAACATGTTTTATTTGATTCTTCTCTTCCCCTCTCTTTTATTTGCACCCAGCCTTTGAGAGAAGAACGTGTCCTCAAACAGAGGTTTAAACCCACACACCAGAGATACTCACCTGTCACCAGTAAAAAGCCTGTTGGAGAAACCTTTGTTTGGTGAATGTGGCAGCAGGGTTTTGTGTGCTGAGTTATCACTGTTTCTAGCCTGGGTCTTGTTGTGTGGGATCTCATCTTCGTCTCAAGGTGCTGAGTACTTTTAAAAATGTTATTTGGCAAATTGTCCTCCTTTTTCTGGGTTTTCTGTGGAACCAAAGAGGTCATTCACTCTGTAGAGTGTCAGTGAAGTGATGTGATCTTCACTGTAAAGATTTCCTGGAGGATACGTGTTCCAGTTACAAAGTGGAACTCATTAAGTCAAACTAATATTTAACCTTCAGATAGAGAAATCAGCATTAAATTCTTCTTTTCTGCCAGCAACCAAGTGAATGCCACTTGCAGAGTGGGTCATTTAGACTACAAAATTCCTATTTGCCCACTTTTCCTTTCCTGGGTTTTCAAGAGGTACTTGAGGGAGAATGGAGCACAATCAGCATTCCATTCAGGCAGCTCTAGTGTGTTTTGAGAGAACTTTGTTCTCTCTGTGAAGTGTGAGTGCAGCTCTATATTAAGACAAAAAACTGAATTTAATTCCACTTTGATCTAAGCCAAGATTGACAAGACAAGTGCTTTGCAGACAATTATGACATAAAGACTTTTAAAATAGACACAGTCAAAATTCTTTTCCTAAGTGCAATTGATGTTGAAAATAAGTCCCTCTGTTAACGCTCCTCCACTGAAATCCAAAGCTCATCTGTTGAACCCTAATATATCTCTATGGCAATGTCCTTCAAGGCACAACTCCTTCTCTCCCAGGTCTGGGAGGGTGTTGGGGAGGTGCTGTGGTTGGTAGGGGTCAGGAGATCCACTCCTGAAAGCTCCTTGCCTGCCTTCATCATTAAGGGCCAGCTGTGTAAAATCTAGTAGGAGCTACTCCCCGTGGAGATTTCCTTATACTGGCAAATTGTGTGGTTCCAGATAACATCTAAGATGCCAATCTTGTAAGGAAACTGTGTTCTGAACTTGAAAAGACTGTAGAATCACAGGCCAGAAATTACCATGTTTTAGTCTGACACACCTAACACAGGCACGATGATTTCACCAAATATTTTCCAAAGCTGACATGATGATTTTTGGCTGTTCTGTGGCGTATCTGTCATAACTAACTGTGTGTTAGTGTATATATATATATATATATATATATATATATATTTTTAAAAAGCACCCAGACCAACAGCTTGCACAGCTGTTCATCAGACTGAATAGAATCTCGCCTGGCTTTTCCTCCTGTTCCTGCTGGAGTTTACGTAATGCTGGAAGCAGCTGAAATGTGGAAAAATGGCTGTTTACTTAGACTCACTTGTCAAGTTACCAAGGTTAAATATGCTGGAGAAAAACTGAGAAGCTGCTTTTATAAAACTTCTAAAGATGACAGATTCAATTTTTTTTTTATATTAGCTTAAAGAGATTTACATTGAAAGTAATACAGGGACTTTGCTGAATAAGTAGTTCTTAATATTAAAAGGCAGTTAAGAACTTGAATCTTCCTTACCACACGAGGCTAAAATTAACTTTGGAGATTCGCAGCTCATTTTCAGTCTGACATACTTTAGATAATTCCCCTTGAGTTTAATTTCCAAAGTAAATTTAAATAATGAATAATCAGCTGCAATGGCATTCCAAGGGTGGAATGCAAATGGAAAATAAATAAGATTTTGGAAAAAACACACATTGAATCGAACCATTGACCAGAGGGATTTTTTTTTTTTTTTTTTCAATTTCTGGAAGCTCTGTGAAAAATTTATTGCTCTTCAGCCCATTTAGAAAAAGACCTATATACAGCCACAAATTACTTAGTTTCAGAAATAAATGTGAATAAAAAAATCCATCTCAACATTTTTCCTTTGTTCTGATGGAACATCTAAAGTATCTCAAGCATGAATCTTTCCTACTAAGTATAATGTGTAGTGCCTTTCATATTTTAATGGTTCAAATTTGCTGCTTTTGGACAACAGGCTGCCTAGCTTTCTTTGTTTTTATAGATCTGAAAAAGCAGTTTTTAAGGTCTAGCTCATGAATTAAAGTATCCCTAAATTACAGGTGAGTAATAAGACTGTAGATGGGATAAGTACACTTCAGCAATAGAGTAGATTAGAAAAAAAATTATCTATTTTTTCAGATTGACAAATCAAAGTATAATCCCTTGATCTAGATTGTAATGAGCTTCCTGATCAGGCAGTACATTATATTGTCATTATAAAAGTTATTACTTTAAAAAGTAATTTAACCCCCTGTGATGGTTTCACTCTAGGCCTTCCTGGAGGGGGGAAAACAAGGTTCAAACCACTACCCCCCCCCCAAACTGCTTCAAGTGCCCCACCTGCACATAGATCCTTGCAATTTTTATTCCCTCCGTTTTCTTTTTCCTGGAAAAAATGCATTCCACACATCATGTGAAGAAAGGCTGGTGAGAAAACAGAAGCTCTTCTCCAAAGTAGGCTTTAAATGTATGGAGAAGGATATATAGGATTTGTCTTGGGTGCTTAAACCCCAGGGAAGGGAACAGCCAGGGTCCACTCCCAGAACTGCTCGGCTGTTTTCCCTTCTGTTGTGGAACTCCCAGACTCTCGTCCACTTTGCTTCCTGCCTTTGTTGAAAACTCAGGCTTCTTTGCTATTGGAAATGTGTTGGTAAAACTGCAGTGGAGCAGAGCCTTGTGTGGAATTTCTGATTTTTATATGAAGTACCTGCAGTTTCGCTGCTGGTTTGTGTGGTTGGTGCTCTCCCGTGTG